TCGCTCACTATAAAAAATGCTTGGGGATTTGGTTTCCCCCCAACACGATAGTGGAGGGCTAATTAATCTCTCGTGAAATACACACTGGGAAACCTATGTGAGGCGGGCGGGCCGGCCAGAGATCTTATGGCCCCGAGGTCTTACGTCCCCGACCACGATCAGACTGGATACCAGGCTAAAAAGACGTAAACGCTTCAATCTGAAAATTGATATGAGGGCGCTAGCTTGTTACATGAGAGCGCAGCGCCCCTGTTCCTATTCCCCTGTTTAGAAAAACCCCTAAGTCCAACGTTCAGGGTAATTTTCAGTGTAATGATACTAATCTTTGTTCCTTATCTTTGTGTTTCTCTACAGCAACAACCTGAGATAGGCTTTGACCTGATTTGACCTGATTTCAGGACTGTTTCAAGTCGCCACCGCGGATGTCGTCACAAACCCTAAGTGAGCCTCACTGGGCCACGCCACCGAATATCCTCACCAGACAGGATGTACACATGTGCCGCCAGAAAGTAGTACGTGACAAGGACCAAACAAGTGGTAATAAGTGTTCGCTTTTGTTAGTTTGCCTTATTTTCGTATTGTGTTATATTTTTGAAGTAATAGTAGAATATATATTTGCTTCGTATGATTTAGTTGTTGGTATACACGATATCTGACCGGTTCCGCCGCGGATGGATATAGACAGAATTACTCGTCGCACAACCACCCAGCTTTAGTTGGAGAGGAAGGGCGGCGGTGAGAGGTAGGTACTTCATTTCAGTCGCCTTTGTCTTTTAAAATTGTTGCTTTTGTGACGGTCACTTTGCGTAGAAGTATATTTGAGATGCTGTGGTTACTCGTATGTACATTTCGAGATGTTCTTGTGGAGGAAAGCCGATTGATTTTGCCGTTGAGCCACTCCGTGTTCTGTTACTGGCAGTTTGTGGAATGTGTCTCGCCACCATGTCAGTTCGTCCAAACCTTTCGTCCCTAATCTTTAGTTTACTGTTGTTTTAAAGTTTAACGTCTTGTGCTATCATGCTACACTTACAATAATACGACCGTAACTGACGACAAACTTGGCCAGATTCTGTAAGGCTGGGCGCGGCTGACATCTGTGCACTGATAAATTATCTTGTTTACGTGTTGGCGTGTCGATCAAACCGCAAGCATCAGGGCAGATGCATGGCGGCTGCAGACATGTCCTTCCAAGATGTGTACGTGGCAATATTTTCGGAAGACTTGTTCCAAATAATTAGCAGCCTAACACATATTTTCTTATTATTAGTGGTGTTAATGTAGTCTCGGTGTATATTTAGGCAGAGAAGATAGTCTGGCTCAAGATAATGGAGCTTGTAAAGATCTGGGCTGTACAGTTACTGTACTGTTTTTATGATATTTGTTTTTGTATATATATGATGTTTGACATTTTGTAGACATGCAAATATCAACGCCATTCAGGCAACATTGTATGCCATGTTTGGTATCTTTGGTATGGAGAAGATGTTATTTCAAGAAGTAATATGGTAGATATCCTACTAGTGCCCCACTTAATTTAGCTTCAAGATTCAGAATCAAATATATAACCGCTGACGTTAACCCCTTCAAGGGCCATCTTAATAAACTAATGCCATGTTTTCAGGTCATTACCAACTTAAATTTTCAGTGTAATGATACTAATCTTTGTTCCTTATCTTTGTATTCTCTCTACAGCAACACCTGAGATGAACATCAAAAACATTGATCAGCTGTCGGGACCATCACATATAGCGCACCAGCAGCCGTACACGGGAAAGTCGTACATGATGAAAGTCAGCTATTCATCACAGCCTTCAACATCTTAGTTGTATGTAAAAACTGGTGACAGACCAAATGTTCTAAGTACCACTGAAGTTATTTGATTGGTTTGTGACAGAACATCCAGCTTACTCAGGGGTTGTTAGGGTTAGGTCCATTCTTACAGCTGCCCAGCCTCTTGGAAACCCAGACTTCGGGGACTGTGCCACTGGCTCAGTGGGGGCTGGTTCAGCTTAGTTAGATGGGTTTGTTGGATGCTAATGTCTCAAAACAATCTTTCGTATACGCTATTTAGAAATAGTCCCTGAATTGATCACTCATTGTGGTACTTATGATCATCATGATTGAAACCGAGAATGTTCTCATTTGCGAAAAAGTAACAGTTCAAGGTACCAGTGCAGTAGACCACACCTTGAATGAAGACAATATCCACATGGATGTATTTGTTCTAATTCATGGGACCATTGTCAATACAATTGGGAAAATTAAGGCTTTTGTGTTTTATACTAAACGAGATCAATCTACATTGTAAATATCTCAGCTCTAGTAGTAGTAGCTGCCGGTGGTTCGACCAAGACAGTGTAGGAGGTTCCGTTAGGCCCGGTTCTTGTCTTACAGAAAACTATCATCTCATGACCCGCGGGTATTACAAGCTTCTCTCTATGCGGTGCCCAGGCAAAACGTCCATCCTCTGCAGAAGTGAATCAGGCTATCTTGCCTTCCGCCCGAAGTGCCCGAGACCAAGTCCTGGCTTCCTGCACGTGGTTCTCAACTGCTTCTTGAATTACAGGGCGACATGAACTAATAACATTTATATCTATTATAGCGGGTAACTAGATTGATCCTCGACAATCAGAAGTCATACTTCTGGCAGAACACGCCCCATGATTTGCACATCCATCTCTAAGTTGACCGGGCGACCATTCATTGCGGTTGCTTCACGCATGATGCATCAGACTTTAACTGCTCGGAATTTGGCTTCAAAACAACAAGACGTCATCAGGGTTACCTGCGACCCTGTATCTAACAAAGAAGGAATAGTCTCTCCCTCAAAGGGTCACTCCCTGAGGACAGCCTTGCGATATTCCGGAGATCACGGGCAGAATACTTGCATCAGGGACAGCATCTAACTGTCCCAGCGCCTGAAAAACGTCATTAGAACCTCAGAGATTTATGAACAACGGTCACCACAACAGCAACTCTATTTCTAGGTTAACATTCCTCACCGCAGTGATCCTGACTGACAGGAGTACAGGGTCCGAGGTGCAATATCATGCACTTATGTGTCGTACCCGCCTGTCTCTTCTCTAAAGGGAAACAGTATGCTAACAAGGGGTGGTCAGAGAACAGACAACCGTTACATCGTGCACTCAACCTTATGTGCTGGTTTTTTTGCCCATGACCAAGCTGTCAGGAAATTGATAAATGCGTCTAACGCTGGTGGTAAACAGTGGCTAGCATTTTGACGTTTGTATTTTGATACAAAAACCTGCATTTGTTTTGGCAAGTCTGCGCATGTCAGCTTACATCCAAATTTCCTGCCTAAATCTGGCTCTAAACTTGCTAACTCCTCACATAGGTTCAATTACAAACGATTGTGAAGTGGGTGGAATGACATACACCCAGCTTCTGTTTTCGCAATCATTTCCTTTGTGGTTGACCATATCTGTTGTTATTTGATGGCAACAAGAATGAGCTGTCAATCATAACTACTGGTATCTATTATGGTAACTTGTACAGTTCCTCACTTAGCCCAAGATATAGAATACTGTTAATCATGCTTGCCAAATTGATAAAGATAGAATATAATTAACGTGGAGTGAATGTAGGGAGTACAGCCCTCTATGTACGTGGTACCTCGGAACTTCTCACTCCAGTTCCTGGCAGCTCGCTTGAAGGTGTGGTGGAGGTTGCAAATAAATTTAAATTGAATAACAACGTTCAACATGATCCTCTGAACTGAACTGGTATGTCCAGCCACTATGTGGTCAGGGTCGTTTTCGCGTTCTTCCTGACGCTGCCGTCTGTTGTAAGTCCTCTCGAAGTCATCGATTTGGATGTAGTCTTCGAAGAGATGCGTCAGATCTGCAGGCAATTGTTGATTGTGCTGCACAGCCTGGCCAGCAAGGACGTACTGTAAGGAAGTACACGGCTGCGATCAAGTACACAGTTAAAACAATGTGTACTGAAGTGAGGAACGTAGGAACGTTATTCTCTGGCATTACATTCATATGATGGACATTCATCCCCTGATGTACTCTGTAGAGTGCAGTTTCATATCCACAGGTATGGTAACAAAATAAGGAATGAAAAGGACCGTAACAAAATCTACACGTAATAGACGCAACATGAAGGGCGTCGATTTCAAGTTGGAACAAAAACAAAGAATCAATTTATGACGTGTAATCTGGCGTAAGTGAAAAGCATCAGTGGATGTGTCAGCCATCACCGCAATTGTGAAGACTGTCAATAGGTTCGTAACGGTAGTTTGTTTTTGTATTTTGGTATCATGTCAATACTCACGTGTGTAAGCTCTTCGGACTTCAAGTTCTTGCCTCCATCTGCGAACATCGCAATGTTCGATCTGAATGTACGGGTACGGGTACCTTTCTCAAACATTGCTCTGCCGAGTAAGTATCAGGTTGCCTAATTAGACAAGTGGCTTAACAACATGTTTTGAGTGGCCCCCACCCACAGTAACCAATATACAAGCCTTTTGTTAAACTGCATTTTTATACTGAGAATAATGGACCGGACCTTTTCAAATTTTTCACACCATGGGAAAACAAGCAAGGAAGTTACTGTGCAACATAAACACCTAAATATTATTAGAATATATATATATATATATATATAT